ATATATATATACCATAGAAGTTTTTATAACTTTGACAACAATACATGTGGGCTGATCAGGAATGCAAAATTTCCACAACTAAGACACAATTGTGTGACATGTAGGGCTTTCAGTTGACCATAAACAATAAGTCATTTTATGTTAAAATAGACATGTCTCTGTCCAAGCTCGTTTCTTGGAGTCATTAATATTATCTTTAGGGCCTAACAAAAGCCACTCACAAGTCATCAATAATAGATATCAGCGGAATTAACCAAGGCTTGTGGAAATTTCAGGATGTTATTCACTGAACCGCTAACACATTAATAGACATGCATACGTATTGAAAACGAAATTTGTGTCCGCTGATCAGACTTATGTATTGAATACCGAAAGTTGCATTGGGAACCATTCACATAAAGAGACTATTTCTACTTTGGTCAGTTTACGAAGATATAACTCCAGTTGAGCACATGCTAATAGAATTGCAAATAAAGTCAAGATGTATTCACTGTTTTCTTGGGATTTTTACTTACTTTATTGCATTTTGTACCGAAGGCAACCTGTCTGTCATTGAGCCAGTGTGAGGAGAAGACCTTATTTATGTTTCCCATGTCAAACTCTTTTTCCACCAATAGGGTTGGAACAGCTCTAGCAATGTACTCATTCACAATACTTTGTGGGTTTTTCTTTTGGTTACCATACTGTCTCATTTGTGTGTAAAGCAATATGTCTTTGGTTGGATTTTTGCCAGTGTTCAGATGCTGTTCAGAGCTATAAAACTCCTTGCTTTTCAGCTTACATCCCGCCCAAGCTGAAGCAGAGACGAACTCACCAATTATACACATACATTTAAATATAAAACACAATACCACATTGACAATAGTTGATAAAGTGACATATCTCGCTAAAATGAACCACTCTAACTTACTTTACAATAATAGACAAACATTTTTTTCAATATAATGACCTCGCATTAGATGCATTATCAGACGAAAAGTGAAATACTCTTTTGACAAGAAATATAAACAAATACAATATAATCCATATTAATGTAGCAGAACTTGACTAGGTCGATCGTTGTTGACCAGGAAGCTCAATCGGTAGAGCTTCCGTCTAGAGTTTGGAGGGTCCTGGGTTCGAACCTCGGTCTGGTCGTGCATTTTTCTCTTCTGTTACATTATCTACCACATATGAATCAAGTCATACAAGACAATCATTGTGTTATGCTAGCTGTAGTGCAAAGAGTGACTAATGAATCCCTCTAAGGTATTAAAATGTTTTGCCTAGCAGGCAAGTAATTTTTTGATAAAACATTACAACAATATTTTACATCTATTAATACTGCTATCCTTAAAAGTTTGCAAGTGTAAAGAGAGGGAGACATTTAAAAATTAAGCCATTAGTATTTCTTTTTTATTTCAGATTATCATACAGAAAATTCTGAAAACAAATCAAGTTGTGATGTTTATTTGCATGTAGCTACAAATCATGTATGGTGTATGCTTCGCGCCACTGCCACAAGTCTTGTTAGTGTTGTGCACCATCATGCAGGCACGATCAACAAAATTTACAGGACGGCCATAAGGTAGTGTACTTGTGGTGCGTTTTGAGGAGTGTAATGCAGGAAATCTACTCCACGCTGATCCTGCTAAGTAGCATACAGTACAAATGTAGAAAGTTTCATGTTAATTTCCGTTAAAATACATCTGTCCATGAGGGTCTCCCCAGTAATCGTGTTATGTATGAGACAGCATCTCGACGATCATTTCAATCATATCAAAGTCTCGATGATATCTGAGTGAAAATGATACAAACCTTTTGACATTGTGTCTGGCAGTGACAAATATATCTGTAAAAGCTAAGCTTTATAAGGTTTATCATTTACGTAGGTTGATTTGATTCATCTTGTCTATTTGTCATTTCTGTCAAACAACAAACTACAACGGAACCTAGCAGCGCCCTCTAGCGGTATGTTTTAGCGATATTTGTAAAATGTAAACCAACCAACGGGCAATCACTATCCGGACATCTGCATAGCGCATTGGACATGAAGTTTTGTGGACATGAAGTAAATGTGATATATTTTTTTATGTTTCAGATTATTTTTCGCCTGAATTAACAAATTTAGTAGGCATTTACATTTTGAGATAACAGAGTGTCGCATACCAAATGTAGGCATCCTCGATATATCCAGGGGTTACGCTCACTTTCGCTCTCTACACCACTGGAATATGTCAAAGCGAAATTAAAGACACAAAGATAGCTGTTTCATTGGTCTCAGGTAAAACAAACGTCCTTTAAAGAATTAGTTTACAAAGGCGAGACGCCCGACTTCAAAGCCTGTAAATTTTTACCGTTATGTGACCTCAATATTCTTTTGATGTACATCAAAAGATCGAACTAGTCTTCTTGTCTCATCAACACAGAGCCTTCAATTTGCTATGACATATTTGCAGAGAGCGAGAGTGAGCGTAACCCTGTATATCGTGGATGAAATGCAGGTCACACAAAGTGTCCTATATATTGATCCATGACCCCAATACAAAACTTCTCTCTGGCATAATCATTTTTGGTTTGCAGTTGGTATCTGCATGAGTATTTCATATATAAAAAGGTAACTGATAAAGAATTTGAAATCAGACACCAAACACTGAAAGTGTTCATGGAGAGAGGTTGATGACAGCAAAAAGGGTATCGTCTGTATTAAGTTATTTGCAGAACTAAAATATAATCAATTTTTTGTCCTTTTATACATGTATTAGCATTCTGATTTCTTAACAATTGGGTGATCCTATGATAATTGCACGATTTATTAATCAATTCCAGATCCAGGTCTGGGGAACCATCCTGTATCCTAATATAAGGCTGTCCTAAGAGGCGACTAATGTGCCCCATCCCACCCCACCCCACCCCACCCCAGGATATACTGAAGTCACGAGAACTGATCAGATGTTCTATTGTAACCCTTGGACCTCCACCTTTTCCTTTCCTCCCCTGCTCACTCTTTCGGCGATATTTTAGGCACCTGTCCTTATCATATGAACTTTGTGTTTGTGATTACGTTACACGTGAACTAGAGATTCACTTTCATATTTATCCGGTTTTTTTGTATCTATTTTGTTAGCTGTCTTAATATAGCAACGTAGTATGGACCATTATAATTTCTAATGATATTATAATGTTTAGTCCTGTGTCTAATTGTGAATGCTTCTTTGTGACCTGTAAATGACTATCGGATAAGTAGATTAAGGATGAAGGGAAATCAAAGATTTTTCAGGCGTTTTTTGTGTGTGTTAGTATTTGCTATGACATTTTCGTTATAACCAGAAAGTGTGTTATGATATGCAGGGGCTTCTTCACTTCAACACTGGACCAATCTCACAGAAGGAGAGGTGATATATTTGTTCAACACTGGATCAATCTCACAGAAGGAGAGGTGATAAATTTGTTCAACTGAAATGTCACCTTGAACTACGGTCATTTAGTGTTACGGTCCAATCGACACAGGTTCCAAACAATACAAATGGATTAACTGTAACACAGGGAACCAAGCAAGGAAGAATACAATTTTAGAAAATGGTACATACAGATATACACAGGCAAATAGATAAGTAACCAAACTGTTGCCATGGATACCGCATATCAGTTCTGTCTGCTTCAATGGACAGTGGCTGATTTGTGCAATTTTATTGTTGTTGTTTTTCGGGAAGAAAATACTTCGCAAAAGTTACAAATGAAGATCACACGTCAAAGTGGTTTTTCCAAACAACAGAAGCAAATATTTTCTTCACTACATATATTTTAAATGAAATGTTCAGTATACATGTTTCAGCATTTGGTATACCCCAGCAGCGCTAATATAACATGCCCTACTTGACAATGGCATCGTATGATGTAGTGTACTTTATGAATTTCTGCTTCACGAATAAGTTCACGAATAAATGTATTTGTATGGATCCCATTATACCAGACTACATTATTGGAACGTCAAGTTAAAGAGGATGCCCTATATAGTAGTTCCCTAACTTGGACAAAGGCATAAGAGTCCACATGCTTTATAAAGAAGCCATAAAAAGCGACGGATAACGAAATTAAGTAAGAATGATTTTTTTTAAATTATCATACAAGCATTGTGATTAGGCAAGATGCACTGCAATTAAGAAACAGGGAAATTTCCCGCGAAATGATATCTTTCCCATCGTAAGACAATTTCTTAGTATCTCGGATATGACATAAAACAACAAGGCAAAGTATTGCAAGGCAATCCAGTCCCCCACCGGTAATGATTTCTAACTTTTTCAAAAGGTAAGGTCAAATTTCAAAGCATAGGTCACAGTGAGGTCATAGTGACGTAATTCTTGCACTCCGCCATCCCAAGACACAAATACAGGTGTACATCTGAGTATCATCATAATCACAAACCAAAGGACTTAATGCACCTGAATATTATTTTGTTATTTTTTTTACACACCCTTCATTCCATACACCACATTTCTTTCTTATTTGTCATATTTCAGGTGCGTACATAGATATCTTCACTGCCATATCTTATTTACTAATGGCTGATTTTTAATGAAAAAATATTATTATCGAACATGGCAGATTGGGTTTTTAATTTATGAAGTACATGCACTGGTATGCGAGCACTCTCAAACACACACACACACCCACATACAGATACAAAAAGTGTAAGCACAACTACATGCAAGCACTTTATCAAAAAATGACCAAGTTTATATTATGCACATAACACATGTTATATTTGTACCACAGCAGTTTGTTTGCTTATGAAGCACATATAAATGTAGCAATTATATCAATCAAGAAATTCAATCAACATACTGGAATATTACGCTAAATTAGTATGATATATGTCAGAGATCAATGTTTTGGGTTTTTTCTTTTGCCCTGTAGCAATATAAGGTGAACTGTTCACCTTTTATTTTGTCCATTTCCTGTTTTGTCCACAAACACTTCATGAACATTGTCAAAAAGATTCACTTTCCTTGTTAGGTTTCCAACTTTGGCAAACACACTACCATTAAAGTGCCAGGCCTTCTCTACGTCTCTGTGTGCTTTTCTAGTCTCTTTATAAGTCCCACATTCCTACTTGTCACATCGTCTGTACACCTCACATTTAGCGCCTTTCGCTTCATCATCACCTGCCTTCGTACATTTTTCCTCATGAATTTCACAGTAATTGGCCTCGGCCCATCCTGTGATNTGATTTTTTGGGTACTCTGTGTGCAGCTAAAATGTCTTGTGGACTGTTATTGATGCCCTCCATTTTATTTACAATATCACAGAAATCCTGAGTTAGGTCTCTCTTTTTTCAGCCTCCTCCCCCAATTCCTTCATGCCAAATACCTTCNATCCTGAGTTAGGTCTCTCTTTTTTCTGCCTCCTCCCCCAATTCCTTCATGCCAAAAGCGATCCATGCTCTTGTGCTCTGTGTGTCTACCATTTCCTTCTTCATTTCATCCATCCCATTTTCTAGTTCTGTGATTTTCTTTTCTTTACATTGAACTGACTCCTGTAGTCTATGATTATGCAAGTTCATCGAGTCAAGCTCCTGCCTCATCTAGCTGTTTTCCGTTATTGTCATTCTTTATGGTAGCCAAAATAGATGTAACAATTTCTGTGATCAGGTCTTTGATGTCTTTCTTACTTAGTATAGAACACAATGTGTCTTTTATCTCTGTCAACTCCTGTCGTTCTGTCATTCCACTACTTTCCACTCCTTCTACATTTGAGGTACTCCTCGTCGTTCTTGCACTTGAGTCACCTCGCGCTGCTGTTGTAGGTTTTACATATGAGCTTATTTTTCTGATGACATTTTGTAAGAAATATGTGTATAGAAATTCAGGTATCTACATGGCAAAATGTCCAAGTCTGGTGTTAGGGCCAGAGGAAACTCGGGTAACGATCAATACAGGGCGTGCGAATAGGCGCGCAACTACTTTTGGTAAACATCGCTTCAGTCATCGCGATACTTCTAGTAAATACTGTTACTGTGCATACTAAAATTGAAACTATATTGACGAAACAACATTCAAATGATAAGGTGACTGATCCAAAGCTTTTCATTATCATGTTTGAATAGGACTGTGAAGGGGAAAACTGGTAAACATTATTATCAGCCCAACCGGAACACTTTTCGACCTTTTCTGCCGAAAATCACGACGTGACAGGAAAAACCTGTGCAAAACTGGCAAAATAACTGACTAATCGCGAGGCTGATACCTGGGGCCTGTTCGTTTATGCGGAGCAACCGGTAATATTTTCGGGCATTAAGCATCAGTTGACTAGGTCCGACCTTGTTTAATAAACGAACCGCTTAAAAGAAAAATGTCCTGTCCTTTGAGGTTGCAGAGATCTCTAGAAGCAACACTCGACTTCAAAGACAGTCAATTTTACCCTTACGCGACCGAGAGATTTTTTTTTTGATGTATGTTATACATCAAAGGATCAAACTAGTCTTCTTGTCTCATCCACAAGGTTGTACACACTGAGCCTTCGATTTTGCTATGACATATTCCAGGGGTGAGAGAGCGTTAGCAATGGCGTAGCAAATCATTTTTCGGAGTATATGCTTACAGCGGGTCGAGCGTCCGAGGCGCTTATATATAATTATCGCCGGAGGAGGGGGGTATGGGAGGGACCACAGCTGGGAAAAATTCTACTAGACCCTACAGTGGCGGACCCAGGGGTGTTGCCCTAGTTGCCCTAGTTGCCCGGGCAACACTCATTTTTCTGTGTCTAAAAATAATCTGGACTTAGGTTTTTGAAGATTTTCCTCTTTTTCATATGGGATTTTCTTCTAATATCAACCATCCTGTGAACTATGATTTTCTATGGCAAGCAGCAGTTTGATGATATATATGCCTAAGGGTGCAGTTGCCCAAACAAAGAGTCCACTACTTATACTCTGAACAGTAGGGGATTAATCCTCCTTTGGTTTTTATAGTAGTAGGGTCTCCAGTCGGCTGTAACGGACTGTCTACCTAATTGTATTGTTCTAATGTCACGGTGTGGTGATCACCCTGTCCGTTGAGAGAGGATAAAACCATCTGTTGGAATTAGGTATATATGTTAATTGTTATTTCAAAGGTAGAGTGCGTTTCATGATAGATAAACCTGTATTTTTACCTGTGGTTTCATGTACACATTAACACCAGGAGTGATTTATTATACCTGTTAAAAAATGTAAATTTCAAAAATTTCAAAGACAATAAAGCATCCACGTGCGCCTTAGCATCACTTTATCAGGTGAATAATAACCAATGTTAGCAAAAAAGCCTGGCATGTATATATATCTCCTTTTTAACAGGTGTTGCCCTTGTACATACACATGCATACAAATTCACAATAAAAGACAAACAGTCAAATCATAGTTCATATTCATGACAAAATTAATCAATATTTAATTGCCAAAAGGCTCGCCTAAACTACATGCACATGATATGAAAGGCATGACACAAACATAAACATTTTAACCAAAAACCTACATTTTTACCATTGTCTCAGAGAATTTGTTAACACTTGCTCTGCTCAGCCATTTTTAAAAAAAATACTCTATGTTATAAAATATAACCAGGAATAATACCGCAAACTCAGAAAACTATTCTATGCCTTATTCGATCTGTTTGACATTAATGGAAATAATGTCCGATAAATTCTAGATTTCTACGCTTGGCAGTGTTTGAACAAGTTTAGTATTACCTCTTCAGAAAAAAAAATCGCTTCGCTCTGCTACGCAGGGAAATCATAATTGTCACAATCTCAGAAATAATGAAGTTCTATATATTGTTTGGTACCAGAAAGTAGTATAAATGTACAACCGACATGACAATTATAATTCATTATTTTTTTTGAGTCTTTTTCCGAGTTCAAAATTTTGGGCAACACCCAAAATTAATTCCTGTGTCCCCCCTGCCCTAGAAGCAATCTCCCGTGTTCTTGGAATAACTTTTAGTCTGATTATTAAGAAGGAAAACACGACATTTTATATAAATAATATTAAAATTTGTACTTCACTAAGTAGTGTTTGATTTACACGATTTGTCAAAACCTAACACTATTTTATCAGATTAAAATTGTCAAGAAGATTATTTTTATTTCTTTCCTTTGTTATGATTGTACAGTCCATATTTATCATAAAACAATAGGAAATTACTAAAAATATATGATGAAAGAAAGAAATTCTTGAAAAATTTAGTGTATGCTGAAGCAATAACAAGTATACATGTATGCTACGCCACTAGTTACTGTTAGTGAGCGTAACTCCTGGATTATTGAGGATGCTGTCGTGATAGTGAACTCCGATGATACCTGTGGGAGAGTCGCCATGTTCCAATCAAGAACTGAAGCTTGATAACAGATTACTTTCATTTGGCACTAAAGATCGTGTGGTTTATATGCAAGCAAACTATACACAGTTATGCATATGTATTTTGACAAAAAAAACATAAAATATGTATAGGATTTTTAATCCTTTGTCAGCTGGTAATTAAATGATACATAATTATAAACGTAATCACGAACTTGATAGATATTAGCAAATCTAATCTAATTCTGTGCTGTAATTTATGAGATCAATGCATAGAAATTGCTCAAGTTTACAACAGTGTCTTTTAAAATATCTTTGACAATTTATCGAAAAATCTTGGATCCTCACTATAATCTATCCCGCAGATGGAATTAAGGGCAGTAGGCACAGTAAGTTCTCCATCAGAGGGCGCTACATACACAGGTATGATGCTGTCTCTGAGTGCAAAGAAGAGTCTATATGTGTCAGACCCGGCGTTCAGTTTCATTTCAAACCATCCATCCTCCATATCTAATCTAATTCCATGCTGTAATTTATGAGATCAATACATAGAAATTGCTCAAGTTTACAACAGTGTCTTTTAAAATATCTTTGACAATTTATCGAAAAATCTTGGATCCTCACTATAATCTATCCCGCGGATGGAATTAAGGGCAGTAGGCACAGTAAGTTCTCCATCAGAGGGCGCTACATACACAGGTATGATGCTGTCTCTGAGTGCAGAGAAGAGTCTATGTGTCAGTCCGGTGTTCAGTTTCATTTCAAACCATCCATCCTCCATAGATTGCTCCGATAACACCAGCAAAATGAACCGACTACTTTCTATGGCCTTCTCAATGTTTCTAATAACATACTGCCCTGGTTGGGCATCTCTTTCGTCATGGAAACCTTTTAGTCCATTTTTCTTCTCCAGTGTTTCCAGAATTTGAAATGCTTTATCATTATCTGCCTCGTGATTGCAAATGTAGAAATCATAGCTTTCTCCCGACATGGTTGATAAACATCACTTCCCAGTTCTCTGTAAAAAAATGGATAACAAAGCTAATGTATAATGTAAATGTCATTAATTACGGTTAATTTGTAGAGTTCTTCAATAAAAAAATTAAACAACCCATCAAACAATGACCAATGGCATCTACAATTTGTTAAGAAAATTTTCCACTGTGTTGTTAAAAACAACGTGTCCCGCCATGTCAAATTTCGGTATTTCTAGATATTTCATGAGTTTATGACTCGAGAATCCCATGTAGATTATATAGCTGCATTAAAACTTACTTTACGCACTCGTGAAAGCTTTGAATTAATCCAAATCTGTGAAGCAACCAGATCACCTACGTTTAATTCTGACTCGGGCCGACAATAATCAAGAGTTACTATTATAACGAAAATCGTTCAGTGGAGTGTGAAGCTGCGATGTATACAATCTGTATCTGCTCAGATTACGGCAGAGACAGCCATGACTGTCATTAATGCTAAGTGAGGTTATAATCGATACTGAGGTGTGACTCACCTTCCACTATTGATGCAGGCATGGCCCGGTTATCATTTCTTTATGTTATTTACAGGGTATCAGTCACCAGCGACTGAATAAGGTTACCCCAGTGACTATATATACTGACGTATGTTTATGTGTGCTGTGACCCATATCAGTATGCATGTGTATTTCAGAGATTTGTAACGAATAAAACTTATAGTAATTATTATATAGCATCCTGTTAAAGATAACAATTTATCACTTAATGATATATGATCATGACATAATAAATGTTCCTTCTCTTAACTCTACCTTCTACTCCACTTAAGTGCTGGCGGACGGTCGGGTAAGTCTTGTCGGTCGGGACAAACTATATCTGCTAGTACAAACACAAACCTCTCTTATTCCTACCCCACTCTTCAATCTGTTACCTTATCCTCTGAATAACTAAGTAGATAAGTATTAATTATTATGTAATATATATATAGTCTGTCATTTGTGTTGCATATACCCAACTTCGTGACAAAATCTTCAATTAGTTGAAGGTGGTCACTATACAGCTGTAGGCCTATTACAGTATTATAGGGTAGACAATACTACTCCTAGAGACTATAGTATAAGAGGCAGCTGGCCGGCCTTTTTTCTATCGGATATGATTTTGCCGACTGCGACTGTTACACGGCGCCTGTCAAAAGTGTCTCGCCGTGTAAACCTCTAACATTGTTGGAGTATCTGGTACTATGACTGATACAGTACCCTGTAAATAATATCAAAAATGATAATCGCGCGCCCCTGTGTTTAAGTACTAACATCCGGATGATCTTTTGGGTATGCTTATCTTTAACATGATGCTATATAAAATGACGCAAATCTCTGAGCTAAAATACTCACTTGATAGTTATGTTTACGTTTTGTCAAATCGAAAGTATGATGTTCGTTATCGATCCAATTCCTACAGGAAGTTGAAATGATGGTCATACTACAAAATAAATTGGCTTACGGACACGGAATATTCCGGATATTTTCTTCGAACAAATTTAAATTTACGAGAGGCCTCAATTTATTAAAAGAAGTAAATATACTCACCAGTAGCGTTTAACAGAAGTAAAAAAAAAGAAATTTTCCCAAAACGACAAAAAGAAAATAACTTGACTTCACGGTGACCTTATACAATTTTGTACATTATTTCTTTCTTTCAATGGCAATTAAAATGATCTATTAGTGTTTTTCGTAACAAAAATATTATTTTCGTAATAAGCAACTAGATCTTTATCAGATTAGGGTGGCGGGATAGGGATACATTTATTTCACTATCTGATAGGCTACAAATCATTAATGTAACAGTGGAAAGCTTATTCAATGTATACTAGCGGGAAAAAGAAACTGTGCATGCGGAGAATTGTTATAGAACATGTATTACCAACTGTATATACATGAAAATTCACACGCATGACCGAGTATGACACATACACACTATCCGTGTGTCATTGACAGTTTTTCCCGTGCGGTTTGCTCTCTATAGGCGTTGACCAGTTTGCACGTTTTTCTCGTCCAGCCATCCAATTCGACAATGCAAGTTTATTTTTCAACTGCTGGGTCACTCTGTTGAGACCAATGAGCAGTAAGAACAGCATTATAACGTTTTAATTTGTGATTAATGCTATGCCGAGGCTCAATGAAAATGACCGCCTCCGGATTATTGGTATACTTCAAGCTGGTATGGGCAAAGTCGTTGTACATGTATCTAAACGTTTTCATGTCCATCGAAACACAATCCGGGATTTGTGGAGACGACATCAACAGTTGGGCCACGTCGGCGATCGACCTCGTGCGGCGGGAAGTCCATGTGTGACGTCACGTCAACAGGACAACCATATTCGGCTTGTCCATTTGAGAAATCGCTTCCAAACAGCAAGTTTGACTGCACGGACAACCCCTGGGTTGCTACCAATAAGCCCGAGAATTGTACGGAACCGATTGCGTGAACGAGCTATCCGTCAGCGACGTCCTGCAATCCGCCCAGTTATTCTGCCACGTCATCGTGTAGCACGTCTGGACTGGTGCAGAAGGCATCTGCGATTTACTCGACGGGTTTGGGCAGGCATTTTTTTAACGGACGAGTCGCGAGTCCACCTGGATAGTAGTGACGGCCGTTCCAGAGTGTATTGTCGCGTTGGAGAACGTTTCCGTGACGCGTGTGTGGTACAACGACGTTCTTTCGGCGGAGGCAGCATTATGATTTGGGGCGGCATCACAGCCAACGGGAGAACGCCTCTGGTGGTTGTTAACGGGAATTTGAACGCGCTACGTTACCGTGACGAGATCCTCCGGACCCACGTCGTTCCATTCGTGCAAGGGCAGCAACGTCACATTACGCTACAGCAGGACAACGCCAGGCCACACACAGCTCGTGTCGCTATGGACTTTCTGGCCCAGCAGAACGTTGACGTGTTGCCCTGGCCTGCTGTATTCCCCGATCTGTCGCCCATTGAACACGTCTGGGATGAAATGAAGCGCAGATTACGGGCATTACCTAATCAACCGGTGACGTTGGCTAATTTGGCTGCAGCGTTGGTACAGATCTGGAATGCCATCCCACAAGCATTCTTGAACCGTCTGATAGGCTCCATGCGTCGACGTTGCCAGGCTTGCATTCAGGCAAACGGTGGACATACGAGGTATCAACTTTGTGAACTCAGTACGTTATACACATTTATTTTTATAACACATTTCAGGCATGCACAGTTTCTTTTTTCCGCCAATATATATATAATACACTGTACATAGAACGATTTCATGTTGACTGAAACCATGCCTGGCAACGTCGACGCATGGAGCCTATCAGACGGTCCAAGAATGCTTGTGGGATGGCATTAACTAAGATAATATTTTTTTCGAATGATGGCAGAAGGTCTGAATGGTCAAAATTAGGATATCATAGTATCAACTGAAATCATAGGGTTATAACTGTGTAGTGTTCGATTAAGATAAAATTTGGTAAGATGGAGCACTATAAACTCTATTGGGATTTCTTCTATTTGCAATATTTTGGAGAGCAGGGGAAGTTTTTGTTACTTTTTATGAAAAAATAACGTTATACTTAACAGTCACAATGTACAACTGCGAAAATTTTACTTCTATGTTCTATTAAAAACTTGTAAAAACCCGGTCTGTCATGTACTTATGCACTATTATACTACTGCTGAGAAGTATAAACACGTCAACAATTATTTCTAAGTTGTTTTTCGTATTTGGGTAGAGTTATTGCAATAAGCCACACTTCTTGGAGTAGGGGCAGTATTACTTTTATATGAAACCCCTCCCCGCCCCAATTTGATATTTTGCTTTGTTACACGCTCTGTGATCAGGGGCGTAGCTGGGATATAGATCTCGTGTAGGCACTTGAACATTGACTTGTAAATGTGTTTTTTTTTTAGTTTAATGACCACAATTGTAAAGCTTAAAAAAAGTGATTGATATAAATGACAGTGCGTTTTATAACTAGAAGTACAAATAATACGAAATTTTATGCAAATTTCTAAAAATGAGTGAGTGGTAATGATTTAAATGTGGGGATTTTAGCAGATATTTTCAACTTGTTGCCACTGACAATATTTCATAAAATAATTTTAAAGTAGAGTATAAACACGAATTGCTATCAAACATATTATTGGTGGGAGGATGGTTCTAAAATAAGAGAAAGTCCAACAAAACCAAAGTGAAGTGTGGACTCAAAATCGACCACCATCCCTTCCATTTGTTATGTCACGACCTCGAAATTACAACTTGGATTGTGACAGCTAAACCATTCTAATGACCATAATAAAAAAATGTCGACCTTCATTTCACACAACGAAAAGGATATTTTCCTATTTTATCATGATAGCGAACATAACACTTGTCAATAACCTTCATTAGCTTTTGAAACCCTGTGTTATTAATTTGTCGTCAGCAGTCGACATCTATGATATCATGATGAAGTCATGAATTTATCCAACATATCCGAATGTATTATGACCGATGACCATGAAGAACCAAGAATGTAATTGTAAGGATAAGGACAGTTGATGATCGGAAAATCGAAATCGTCCATTTTGTCGTACAGCCTTGTTGTAATATGTCCCTTTTCATCATGTTATTTGATCGAGTACTGAGGTAGACGAGACTGTTGTGTCCCCAATTTCAGGTTCGGGAGGTTAATCTTGTCATTTATATACAGTACATCGTCGATAAATCTGAAAGCAAAATTGAAGGACTTTGATATTTTTCTTTTCTTTCTGATCGGTTAACAATAAGTTTAGGCTTCGTATGAAAACAAAAACGTCGGCCAGGAGAGAGGCGCAGTTACCATTGGACTGCATACATGTACAGTCTGCACACTGATGGAAAGTCTTAACCTGGAACTCAATCATTCTCACAATTCTTTTCTTTATATATTTATTTAAGCCTTTGTTATGCTTTTCACAAAATATGCTCCAAAATCATATACAGTCATATACTATTATATACATGTACCAATATATTTATATCGCTGTTCGCCCTTCTTTTTGAAAAGAAAACTTTCATAATAAGAGAAAGAAGCCGTTCCTTCTGTTTGGTATGAAGAATTGTAGTGTAAAGGGTCGAGAATGTTCAAGATTGATCAAAAGATGTTTTGAATTCTTCAAATTCCATATTTTATTTGTTCCACTTACCGAGTCACAATACGACCGTGATTCTGATGAAATGGACTAAGAATGGTATCAGAACTTTCCATGGTGGCTTTGCTGAGCGAGAAGATGAGCCCGCGATAAAGTTATTTATAAAGATTCTTGTGAAGTTTCGGAATCCAATGCAAAGGAGGCAGGTCCGTATCCTTATCATTAACGGGTGTTCGAGAAGATTTTAATACAGATGGGTGATTAGCGTCTCTTGAAATTTTGGAAAGTAAAAAGATAGTTACCTAAGCATTCTTAGTTCTAATTTTTGCAAGAAGACAATGTAATAGCGTTTGCAGACAAAGATTAAAAATGTTTAATTCTTTGTCAGCACACACGAATACATGCAGATTGTTTTGTGTGGTTTGCACATCAGCGTCAGGAAATACAGACTTTGTGTTTTGTTTTCCTATTGTAATTCAAACGGCTTATTTCGTTAAGTCGGATTCAGTATATAAACTAATAGTTGCTAGGTAAGTCACCGAGTTAAAGACTGACTTAACTTATCTTAATTACATGTACTTATAAGAAACTATGTACTTAATTACAGGATAGGATGTTTGCATAGGTGGCTGTCGTCCTATCGCGCAGGGGAATGGTCACGCTAGACTACATCCGGCTTATATCCTATCAGGGTATGGTGGGGCGTGGTAATTCAGAATGATGTCTGACTTTGAGTAGCCTCAGAAGACGAGACAGTTTCACTGCAAGAGGGTCCTCTGACTTCGTCTTTTGATGTTCCAAAATTTTGGGACCATTAACTTGTTCGTCGTTGTGGTATTACTATTGTTAAATGTAAGTTTAAAATGTTATATTTTGATTGTAGAAAATAATAAAACGAGATTTACCGTATTACTACTAGAAGTAAAACATCCTGGATATAAATGTAGTATAGTCCTTAATTTTTAAACAAATTAAAAAAAAATGTTTCTTGAATTTATGTGTACAGTAGGCACGTGCCTACTCGAGCCTAAGGCAGCTACGCTAATGGTGATTGGTTATTACTTGTAGCACATATGATCCGAAAAATACTTCGCATCGCTGCGGCCTAGCATGTGGAATGTATGGAAATTATCCCCCGTGCATACTTGCATTACCTTTGGAATATCCAGATTCAATCCCTATCTGAATGTTTTTTTAAGGACGTCAATTTCAAACATTTGTCATCCAGAAGTAGATCATATTGATGATCATTCGAACAGGCTAGTCATACTTGATAAGTGGAGGTATCTTCAAAACAAATTGACGCAAAAATGACAATAATTTTACATCTATCTAGAAAAGACCCTATCCAGTTTAAGGACGGATATTTATTGAACCGAGCTTCCTCACATCGTCCTTGATACTTAGAGAATTGATTTACTTGATAAATATGGTTTTAATGATAATGTACATGTTAATATTTCCCCGGATTGCGATTGAATACCATCTATCCAATTGCTTTAATTCCCAGAGACCCATGTGTCAAGATTTATAGTCTGTGTCCTGACGAAAAGTTCATCCCGCAGTCGCCGATCCGGAGCCCAATCATAGAGTCCCTTCGTTATAATGGACAGAACAGACGAGCTACATATGCGTTGTTAATAAGTAGGAGCACATACAGGGACCGGATCAAAGAGTAAAGGTCTGTGCTAGTTTGAGACGTATTGCTATAAATGCCTATTACACATTTCGGATGCTCGGCCCCTGTGCCAATTAAGATTTGCATGTGCTTATTTTTTTTATTTTTAGATCTTGTGCACAAATGAGATATTTGTTGTCAGTTATAAGGCCTGTTAACAATGATTCACTTGTTCTTTCACAGTCTAAAATGTGTTAAATGTACCACTGGTACATATATATTGATTGACCTTAACACTATTCCGTTGATCAACAATCATAATATCAACGTGCTCTACATCACCCCCAGCAGATGATCTCTAAAATTAGACACCGTATCATGGACAAACATTTAGCCTCCATACATCCGCAAAATATTCTCTATTTATTTGTAGCCAACTCTGTAGTGAAATAAATTGAAATGAACAACATCTTGAAAAATCATAGAATATCTGACAGAAATTAGTTTGAACATTCCAAGTAACGAGACGACATTTACTGAAGTATTTTAATAAATAGCTTTTTGAAACAATTACATTTTAGCGGACTACATCATTTTTCAAATCAAACAGATGCATGCATGATCAATACGGATCAGATCGTGCCCTCAGAATCGTTTACAGCTCCCGTGGAGCAATATTACTTACTATTAATGGTGCTTTGATAATCTGTCGATCACCTGTAGGGCACTGACAGCTTTTACATTGTTGATGTGCTAAATCTTTTATGTCAAACAAGTTATCCTCGGTCGTGGATAAATTGTTTGACATTAAAGATTTAGCACATCAACAATCCTCGGTCGTGGCACCCCTGCAGGTCGGGGGCCGAGAAAAGAATACACATGCTGTTACCCGCAGCATTATATCGTAAGAGGCGACTAATGAGGGAACCTCCTGCAGAGTTGGGGATTTGCTTTTGTGCCCTCTTCATGGGAATATTAAAAAGCTATCAAAATAAATCTGCTGCACCCATTGCAACATTTGGGATCTTTGTCTTTCTTTCTTCTTCTAGCTTCCTTTTATTTCCTAGCGCCTAGCTTGGCAATACCTCACTTCTGGCTTTAATGTTGACCGTTTGCCCATGTGAGGAAGGCAATGGGTTCTGTCCCCAGGCCGGGACATACCAAAGTCCTTAAAAATGGTAGTTGGTATCCCTGCTTAACGTTCAGTATTGAGGGTAATGAAAACAACTGGTTCACCTGTTGTCAGTATTATGTGACCGGGCGTAATGCTATGCTGGGTGCATTTGGCACGGTATTTCAATGAGATAGCACTATAAATTCGGCATCAGATCCGCGCTATTACAAGGAGGGAAGTACACCAACATACCCTGTCTCCACCATACACACACACTTACACAACACACTATGGAGCCACGTCCTTAAATGACATTAGAATAAAAGGACGTTAAACAAAATAAAATCAAAACCAACACCTAACCAAACCCCGGTCGTGGTTCACCGCCGTGTAAAGAACAAGAGATTTGGTCAAAGTGTCGAACAGTAACGAAAAGTTCATTGAAGTGTTTGTCTTTATTTGTAGGAAGTCAAACATCTTCCTTATTTGATCTACTTATGACCATCTTGGGCTCCGTTATTACATGTACGTTGAAATAAGATCCAATCAGTAATGCTGCAGGCCAAAATATTTCTTGTTGCAAATGTGTGGGGTAAACGCCAAATACATATCTAAACAAGCGGAAGAAGAGCTAGGCAGATGTTGCAGTTAAACCGTATTATAATGCTAATAACATACTTCTGAACTGTCTGAAGAAAAACAATTGTTTCGGTAGATTGTTTACTGCATTTTTGTACCCACGATCATTCAGCAGAGATTTAATAGCCATTGTGCTCACACAAAATAATTTACACGTCAAACAAAAAATATCACCAGCACATACATTAATTTCTGAACATTTTATTTACAAAACGATTTGATACAAATTATATTGCTATTACTTACAGCACGTTTGCTTTGTTTATACGCAGATGATTACCCAATACCTTAGGAGTTCATGATAACAAACGGACAATTCATACAACAGAAATGTGTGATGGCCAGTTTTTATCTAGCTTACTCTAAACGTGCGTGTTGTAGCGATAACAATGTATTTGCGATTTTTGTGCTAATTAAAAACGCGTTAATTGAGAGAGCTGCTCATCAAGAAATTATTGTATTCTGGCATGCTATATACAACTATTGATAAAATTAAATACTTGGTCAACGTATGCGCTATATATATTTTAAAACAAGTACGTTCTTAACAAATAACCTTCGAACAGTGCATTCATATCGTCTGGGCAACTCTTCAAACCGGTTTATTTTCAAAGTAGTGTGAACTATGTCGCCATTTCTATTGACGCCTAATCAAAGTAGTGTTCATAATCTTAACCAACAAAAGAAAACTTATTTTCCCACAACCACTGTAGGGTTTTTCACTCCCGACTCATTGGATAAATCTGCAAGGAGTTGGTAAACATTTTTCGTTACCGACTAGTGGGTAACACCCTGGACGTGATTCCATTTGTCTATTTTCTAACTATGATGTCGGGTAACACAGCGAGATGACTTTTCACACGGTAAATTCATAAATCACGCTACGCGACAGAAGTACTCACACAGTCAATTAATAAATTACGCTACGCGACAGACATACTCACGCGGTAAATTCATAAATCACGCTACGCGAGTTGAATTTTTGCACGGTAGATTTAAGATCATAGTACAAGAGATGAATATGCACAAGGTAAATTCACAGATCAAGGTACACGAATCAAAATTCACGAGGTAAAATTATAGATCAGGGTACACAAGATGAATATTCACACGGTAGATTTAAGGGGGTCTTCCCTGAACACCAACTCTGCTTAAAACCACATGTTTACGTAGGTGGCCAGTTGTGATGATAGTGAGTTATAGTCTATTGCAGAAATGGTGTACGGGTAAATTGCACAGGTAAATCAACTTCTGATAACTAATAAGATAATTAATAACTGCTCATAATTGTAAAATAATAATTAATTCTAGAGTTCCGATCCCAAGCTGTTAAATGGGTAATGTATAAAACAGCAGCACAATTTGGAGAATTATCATATTTCGCTTTGTACTTGGAAACATCATCTTCTTTACTCAGTGAAATTTGTGTGAATTCTCTTATAATTATTGTCATCTAACACTTATACTTATTTTCAGATTTGTGTGAACAGTACGCGAGATGAATATTCACACAGTAAGTTTATATATCACGGTACTCGAAATGATTATTCACACGGTAGATTTATAGATCACAGTACGATAACTATTCACACGGTAGATTTATAGATCACGTACGCGAGAGGATTATTCACACGGTAGATATTCACACAATAAGTTTATATAAAGATCACAGTACGGGGGATAAATATTTACACGGTCTATTTATAGTTCACAGTGCGGGGGATAAATATTCACACGGTCTATTTATAGTTCACAGTGCGGGGGATACATATTCACACGGTCTATTCATAGTAAACAGTGCGGGGGATAAATATTCACACGGTCTATTTATAGTTCACAGTGCGGGGGATAAATATTCACACAGTAGATTTATAGATCACTTTACTCGATATGAGTATTTACGCAATTCCTCATATCATGCTACACATGGCACCGGACATCACAATTTAGCTTTATAAATACATACTGTATGTAATTTTTATGGTATGCTATTTTACAGTCTTTCACACAGATGCCAGTGATACGCTTGTTTTCTCTAGTACAGCATAACGTCCCAGAAGTAATGGCGAGAACTGAAAAGATGTTGTTTTGACGACAGAGAAATAGCGTCAATTAGATGACGTTTGGACAAATATCGTTATGGTGGTGATGAAACTGATGAGTATAAAGAAGATCAGGAAGATCCTGTCCACGACTTGGCCTAAAAGCTGCCACTCAGCCACATTTTCCTCCCATTTGCTGTGATCTCGCATGAACCGCTCAATCTTCGACAGCGAGTCCAACTGCTTTCTCAGTATGTGAATAAACTCACTAGCATTCAGAATGGAATCGGAGTCAGTAGATATTGAGTTTTTATTATTTTCATACATAGTAGTGTCATCCGACTTCTTTCTATTTTGTTTTACATTCTCAAGGCCATTAGTCTTCCTTTCGAAATCGAAGGCTTGGACTTCAATTATCTTTGGCTGCAAAACAAATAAAACACTTTGTTGTCAAAATTCTCGAAAACGTCTTATCAAATATTATTTAAAATTTAAAGATAATCTTTCAATACATATTATTGGTAAAATGCGTTATCAAATCGTTGCAATATATGATATTATAATTGAACATTCCTAAAACACGTACCGTTGTCGGAGAGGGCGAGACGGATGCATTGGACTTCTGGGGTGTTTTGACCCTGACCAATTTCCCAAGAACATCGAAGAATATATGTCGGACGATTTTCGGAATCTCTTTTCCATGATTGCCTTTGTAGTGGAGATTGAGTACAACGACAGTCATCAGACAGGAAACGGATACCAAGAACATGGCACACAGGAAGTAGACACCTGTGTACAGGACAAAATCAATTAGTAAAAATATCAAACAGGAAATAGACACATGTGTACAGGACAAAATCAATAAGTAAAAATAACACACAGGAAATAGACACCTGTGAACAGGACAAAATCAATTAGTAAAAATATCACACATGAAGTAGACACCTATGAACAGGACAAAATCAATTAGTAAAAATATCAAACAGGAAGTAGACACCTGTTTACAGGACAAAATCAATTAGTAAAAATATCACACAGGAAATAGCCCCCTGTGTACAGGATAAAATCAATTAGTAAAAATATCAAACAGGAAATAGACACATGTGTACAGGACAAAATCAATAAGTAAAAATAACACACAGGAAATAGACACCTGTGAACAGGACAAAATCAATTAGTAAAAATATCACACATGAAGTAGACACCTATGAACAGGACAAAATCAATTAGTAAAAATATCACACATGAAGTAGACACCTATGAACAGGACAAAATCAATTAGTAAAAATATCACACATGAAGTAGACACCTATGAACAGGACAAAATCAATTAGTAAAAATATCAAACAGGAAGTAGACACATGTGAACAAGACAAAATCAATTAGTAAATATATCACACAGGAAGTAAACACCTGTGTACAGGACAAACAATTGGTAAAAATATCACACAGGAAGTAGACACATGTGTACAGGACAAAATTATTTATCAAAAATGTCACACAGGAAATAGACACATGTGTATAGGACAAAATTGTGTAGTTATAGCACAACACAGGAAGAAAATTCATATATACAGGACATAGGAAAAATATACATAAATAAGGGACTACACGTGACCTGTAATTTAGTTTTGACCTAGATACTAGACGTCTTACATACATTCTGCACACAGATCCGCATGCAGTTGAAACAAAACACCAACAGATTTAGCAGCAGAGCTTCTCTGTAGAGAAGGGTATTACCTATATAAGGGAAAGATTCCGATGAAGGCGGTAACGTCTCAGATACGACGAGAAGGAAAACAGCAAGAGACAGGAGGACTGTGATTTCCAGGGAAACTTTCTCTCCAGAGTCCGGGGGGAGCAGAAAACCTAAACATGCCACTGATGTTATTAGCATACACGGAAACATCAAGTTCAGCAAGTAAAACAGCGGCTTCCTGTCCAGGACAATGCGAAACGTCACATCCGGGTAGGGTTCCGGGCAGCATCCATAGTAGATCACGTGACGAACAATATTGATTGCCTTCACATCCCATTCAACGTTGCTCACAAATGACGTCAGATCTCCCGATACTGATCGGTTCGTGATGTTGAGCTGTAACCCATGATACGCCCAGGAACCAAATGTAAGTGAGCATGTCTGAGTATCGAAAGGAAAGTAGGTGACATCAACCTGACAAAGACTGGTGATGACGGTTGGGAAGTTGTACGCCATTGAGCCAGACGATCCGATGCTAAGTCTGTAATCCTTCACTCCTTCGACAGTACTTCCGGCACTAGAAAGACAAAAACTGTCTCGTACAAAACTTCACGACATCGACCTTAGTGTCGACAAGGTGAACACGTGTTTGTCATTGATTTAACTATCACTAGGGAGACACATAAAATACAGAGTCAATCCTTTTATATTGAAATTGTTTGTTCTTATTATATATATATCAGCTTGCGAAATAAACTAAGTCTAGGAGTAAACGTTGGTGAGAACACAGTCATCCTGAAAGTATGCCCAATGAGGAATGTTTTCAGAGTATATAACTTACTTGTCATACAAGGTAATATCAGGAATCCAAACTTTGGTGACTGGGACGATGAGGTTGTCAATGGAATCAAATTCCGAAGCATTCCACATCAGATTACAGTCTTCCCAACTCTAAAATTCAAAAACACTTAATTCCTTTAAAAGCATAAAATGGGCAACTCATGATTTTTTTGATTTTTTTTAGTCTTGAATACAAGAGCACAGAAGCCTTAACACACAACCAAGCCCATATGGATATTATCCCCGGTCCGAGGCAGATTGAAGTGAACGCCAGTGATCACATGTTCAATAATCTTTTCACAAGTGCCTCATCACGCCTTGATTTAGGTAGTGTTATATCATCATTGTCATTTTTAGCGATATTTTAATGGACTCGTTATCGAAAAAATAATACTATCATGCTTAACACATGCTTTTTTGAAAAGTGAGTATTCACTACTTACCCATCTCAACCATGCATTTATCTGCAGAAGTTGTTTTGGTTCATTCTGAAGAATGAAAGCAATATATATTTACTTAAAGATCAATTTTTTAATGAAAACAATAACATAGTTGAACAAAAACTACTATAATGTTCAGCTCGTAGTTATAGAATGGCGCTCGATAAAGAACGCTAACACGTCGCTATATCAACTGCTTAATTTTGGGATAGATAAAATCTGTATATGTTAGAAAATCTAGTTTGCAATGTAAACCATCGCTATATACAGCGAATGTTTGCGTAGCAAAAGTTTTGGCGTCATGAAACAGCTTGGTGCTATGTAGAGGGAACTATATACTGAAAGAAAGGAAAAGCATCGTAAGTGAGGTTGCAAATACAACGAGTGGCGTTATATTGAGGATAAACTGCAACTTACATCAAAGTCTCGATGATTAATTTGTGTTCTTAGAGACTTACTTGGGTTGGTTTGTTTTTTGCTGTGATTTATTGTCACATTTCATGTTGTTTTAAGAGTTGAAATGGAAGAAAATTAATAGCAAATATACTTATATGAGAAAAGCGTAATTATATTTTAGCGCCCCGGGAATAGAGGCATGCTGTTTCTGTCAAAATTCAATTCAAATACGAAAAATTAACATATGATCAATGTACTTTTATTAGCTTGCAATTGATTTGTTCGAAAACTCTTTGACAATATAAACTTTTCTTCGCGGCTTTAAACCAAGTTTTATTTTATTAGTTTACCTTTTTGGTTTTAAGATTTAAAATGTTTGTACATTGGATGATAACAGTGTCCTTATCTGCTATATAACAATTACCAGAATCCGTTTGATGAATACAAAACTTAAATATCGAACATTAGTACAGAATTATTGAATTTTGTAACGTTTGGCATGTCCTACTCAGCCATTTTTGTTCGGGTTTTCTTCAATTAAGTTTCAAAGTCTAATCACCTATTGTGTATACACGGGAACAACCACACTACCCTCTTACTAATGTTACATACCAACTCGATAATCTGTCGGAGAGCCAATCCAATTCGTACTTCGATCGGTTTGTTACCGTCACAAACCGGTCTGATGTCATCGTGATAGTTGGCAAAGAGGTGGGTCATAAGGGCACTGACGTTAACCTTCCCGGCAACACCTGCGGGTTCATCAAATAGAACGTTATTCTCAATGGTGGTGAGTTGTTGTATTAATCAATAGGTCATTCATCACAGCCTCATGCATCATTTGTCATGATTGTTTACCATCTCCGATACATAGTGGCGACCACATGTACAAGAAAAGTAAATATAGTAATTAAATATAATTCAATGCTTTTCGATAGTTATATATGAATATTTGATGACGCTAATATTTTGGACGATAATTTATAGGGAACCACGCTAAGGTAATATTTACTTGCCGAATACGAATGTTTACCCGGTAACGGTGGGTAAATATCGGTTTAATACAATCGATTTACTTCACATAACTGTCATTGATATCCTGTTTAAAACCTGTCTAGGTCATTGACTGTATACTCATATGTAACTCAAAAGCTATTATATACAATCCTCTAACTTACATCTACGTTATAACGATAATGCTAAATAAGATTGCCTTTTTTGTCTGTACACATCTCTTAACAATTACATAACACACAAACCAAGAAAAGGATCAATCGCCCATACATGTACAGGTATCACTAAAGTACATAATAATCATTATTTACCACAAACTCATTCACCAAAAAATGCACGTATCAATACTTAGTTAGAGCAATCATTTACTATGATATGGTCTTTTTAATGTTTTTAATATCTTCTTCCATAGTCACATAATTTTACTTTAGTTTATGCAGAGTAAACTTACTGTGTTATAATGCTATACCAGTTCTGGTATCGCCTTTACCCGATAATTTTTAATTGTTTTGCTTTTCACGTCACAGTTACTACAAGGTATATAGGGTAGATAATTCACTGATCAGCTTGTCACTTGAACAAGTCGTTGGATTTGAACTAATGGCGATTATTAAATCATAGAAGGATGGGTCGCACACTATGCCTTCATACCTAGGATATGTGTTTGGTAAGGTAGCTGTAACCTACTTTATATGCATAAAATAATAAATAATATATGCAACAAATTTGTACTAACATATCACCCAGTTATCAAATATATTAATACCTTAAACAAATGTATCAGTGATTTCAGACCTCGTTGTCACTACCCTTGTGGTCCCTTTGAGGACGTGACATTACTAGATTTTTACTTAGAGATTTGTATGACGGGTGTCTTTAATGCTGCAGTAGACTTATTGACTCCCGGCTCTTTTCAACAATTTTCAAGTAAATCTTTCGTTTATTCATATCTTGCTCTAGTTTAATCGATTTCGAATTTGAAAAATGGTTTCGTTCACTCTTCGCCATTTTATTGTTATTTGAAGAAATGAACACTTCTCATTGGTATATTTTTATATTACCTATTAAAACAACAGAACCTCGTTCGGACCTTTGATATTATCATGTAATACAAATAACAATACTGACATTTAATTTAAATGACCATAAATACATTTAACTAGAATTGAATGTTGAGCTTAAATTAACATCTCAATGTTTCATAGTTAAAATGTACCTCGAAGCCATTTTTTTTACCGGAAAGAGTGACACATAATTTAGCAAAAAAATCAATTAATGTCTATTTCATGAAATTCATTTATTTTCATGTATTTAGAGTTAAATATAACCTTTGTGCTGCTTCGTGTAAAACAATCTCCATTTAACCTACAAACCGCTAACTGAACAAATACGTTTGGGATGCAGAGATGTCATTGATCGATGTGCTATAGACACCTCACAAACGTAATGCAATGCTATAACTATAACGTCTAGTGTATCCGGTAAGCACCAGTGTTTCATTTCCTCGTCACTCGTGGGAAATAATTACCATCAAAGCACACAAGGGGAAAAGCAAACTAAACCTTGTGATAATTGAACACTCGTGAATGAGGGTTACTCCAGAGTAAATTAAAAAAAACATCCAATCGTGATTGCTCAATGTTAAGCAACTTAATATGTCGTGCGGTACTTCACTTAGGAGGAAGTGATCTGCTATACAAATTATGCACAATAGGACCACTGGGAGCAATGTTCTAAGGTTTTCCAGATTGCCATTTCTTCATGAACAAATCATTCATCACGATCACCGTTAAATATAAATGTAGTTTTATCAATACAGAAATTGATTTGCACCGAAATAAGTCCATATTCATGACAACGTTACTCACCAAAACGTCAATAAGTAGTATTTCCACCTTTATAAGACGCAATGCACTAAGTAGATAACGAGTCAATGTTACATGTCCTGGTTTTCATGATCGGGTGACTTCCATACACATAACTGTTATTATTTTTTTGAGGACGAAACTACGCTCTCTTATACTTTTAAAGTTCTTCTTACTTACATACTTACAAACCCGAAGAAAATGTTTAGAAATACGCTCTCTTATACTCATTATTTTACAACATAACATATGCTTATTAAAACTTTTAACGGTGGTGCTTATTTTGTCATAAAGTAATATAAGCTCTTTTTCAAATAAGCCATTCCGGGTTGTATATTTTTCATCGCTCAGACCCTATTTGCTCTTAAGGTTGGTTACAGTTAACCTGTGGTTAGGAAAAACTAGTTATATGAATTCAACAAAATTATAAACATTTTATATCCTTTCACTGCTATCTTTTGGTGTTTTGTTTAAGAACAAACACGATTGATATGTTTGAGGATTTAGTTGCTTTGAAAGCATTCGTTTAACCACTGGCTAAAACTTAAAACCAACCTGAGAGCAGTTAGGTCCAGAAAGACTGAAAGTAAATGAGGTTGAAAAATGGTTTAGGAATAACCATATCCCGACATGCTGTGTTATATATAGAAAGTCTTATGACTAATGATAAAATAAATCCTGTTGAGAGATGATATTATCAAGGATAATGTAGGATCTTCAAATAATAGATTCGGTCTCCAAAACAAACGCATGAATATGGATTAAAATCTTTTTCAAACGTATGATTTGACGTTTTTGGAAAACATGACGTAACAATACAATTGACGCTCCTGGCTAACTTACAGTGTATTTCAAGATACAGGTAATTGCTACATTTCAACTCCCAAGGGAACACTTGTTTCAAGTAGCGGCCATTTCTTGAACGATGACTTTGTTAAATGTTTGCTTTCCAAAGCTATCCGGTGCTTGTGACTTTAACATTTTGACTTTGGCGATGCCGAACGCACGTTCGATTTTATCTCTCATCAGGCTTTTTTTTTTAATTTGGTCATTTTCCTATACGTGTTTAAACAATCGCATTTGCATCTCATAGCTCAAAACGGCATCCGAGTGCTCCAATTCTGATTCATTAATATAATCTTGAATTAGCTAACCGACTCTTTCTTAAGGATCCCTTTCTCACTGCACTGTGGGTTTTTTCCTATATGCAGTAACCTCCCCTGAACTTCCGTTTGGGTGTAACATTAACACGTTTGGACCAGGAGCTCAGTCACTTAGAGCGATACTACAATATACTAAAGTCCATGGTTCGAATCCTGGCCTAGCCCCGCTGAATATTTACACTAAAACATTTCATCTTTATTATTTTTCATAAACGTCTCGCAAGGTACGATTTTCTTTTCAGAAATGTTGAGAAATCATGTTGCAAAACAGTTACCAATATTTAGATATATTATTTAGCAGTGGTACGGGGGTCCTTAAACAAAGCGGTTAAACAGCAATAGAAGGTACGGGTGCAGTTTTAACTTCTGTATTGATTTGTGTTCTTTCACATGAATGAGCTGAAAACACGACTTACGGCTGTTACCTACAGTATTGTGGGTTTTGTGTTTGGCCGTCCACGACATAAACAGACGTGATTTAATATTAACGACTAAACGAGAAAAAATGCTACTAATTATGCATTTCCAGGTATTATATTAGTATATATTCTTGAAGCCTTACGTCTGTGGATGAAATCTGCGATAAATCATAAAGAATTCCGAAAATCGCAAATAAATAACCCATAAATCGGAAACGGAGATCAGGCATGAGTAAGAATGCACCTTACGTATATATAAAAATAGTGGAGGACGTGTTATTCCATCTTTCCGGCGATAAATGTGGTTTTTGCAGCGACAGAATTAACACTTAATTTAATGGGTCCATTTGTAGAGCCTTCTGCCCTGTCTATTTTTATATATATCTGTTGAGGGTGTTGATATTGACGTTTTAAACGTTTAATACTACTCCTACACATCAGCAGATGTACAAACATGCGTAGTGGTACTGACTTCAATAGATCTAAAACTAGATGTCCCAGGGCGAGTCTCCTAAAACACGTGACACCCGCTATGATGTCAAATCCATGTTGGCACAGTTGTAACAATCTAAAACACGGTGAACACAACCTTAATCGTGACATTTACATTTCTAGGATGGCGACTATAACATTTCTATAAAAGTATGTTAACACTATTCAGAAATGATTGATGTGAATGCACGTCATCTCTTAAAATATAAAACCGAAATTCACTTAAGAAAAATAGCCAATTAAGTCGATATGGGTTCAAGTGAATAACAATTTAATTGAAATCAACATGCGAAAGCACCAAACTGACATTTCATCTTTTATATCAATGTATAAAGACTTTGATTTCGACTTAGGGTGTATTTTCACATTCAGTAAATGAGGAGCATTACATTAAAAATCAGGGTCTTGATACGTTACAATTCCATGTCTTATCCAGGAGAATAATTAAAAAATGTTCTGAAAAATATTCCCTGCTGCGCTCCAAATAACTGTTTAGCCCTAAAGGGATCTGGCGCTCTGTCATCGAAATCAACATGAAATGATTGCAATGAAAAACCAGCCGTGATAGTTAATTTAGGGTGATTTATAATTTAAATTGTTGGTCAGATATGGTTAAGTCACATGCACATGTAACATAACAGTCACAAATGCATTTAGATATAAGGTACACTTATTGTTTTACTAAAACGATGCTAATTAAAAAGGTGTGACGTATTGGTTATGGTTTGTCTGATCGTTAGTGTGGATCAATAGCATGAGAGGCAAAAAAGAAACATCCTAATTATTACGAAAAAAACCT